TGGATTGAACCGGTTCGGTCTCTAAAAGACGTGCCGATTCCACTGCGGGACTCAGTGCCGATGTCAGTGCCCCAGAGGGAACAAGCTGTATATCAACGTCAATCGCGGTGGTGACCGGGAACTCTGATCTCACCGCAAAAGCGGTTGACCGATGTTCATTAGCCTCAGTAATATCCGATGGGGAAGCCCATTCAACGTTGGGAGAATCCTCGGGGACGGAGCTACGTCACAGACGTTCCATGTTGCTAAGACGCGCACCACTGTACATGCATTTCTATGGGCTATGTGCGTGCGGCTGTGGAACGCCAGTCGAGCCGGTGAAAATTCGAGAAAGCAACACAAAACTCAACTTTGAAGTAATCCTGAACAACAAAATTTATATATGTTACACACGTAGGGCTAATCTTGTTACTCTGTTCAGAGGAGTCTCAACAGTCATCCCAAAGTACTGTGAGTTTTGGGCCTTTGTTTTCACCGCCGTGGGTTGCCAGGCGCTGAAAATGCCCGGATGTCCACCCCCGAAGATTGAGATCTAACATCGGTGTTCCCGCACTATCGACCGCCCTCAACGGTAAACTGTTCCGGCGGTCATGTCTCAATTGACGGCCCTGCCACCTCAAGCAGGGAGTCAGATTCGTGACAACTCTCTCAAATTCTCGGATGTCGAACGGAGGCGAGCCTCGTGACTACCAAGCGTGGGTAAAGATTTCACACTCATAGAAGCCGACACACTGGAGCTAGTGGCAGTAAGGGATTTCCCCTTCTTTCCGCAATCTCTACCAGCCTTCAATCGCTTGCCTTCAGCCTTTCACCCTGCTTCTCACATGAGCCACATTTTATGGTCTCATAAATCACAAATACCCTCAAGGCAAACCCCGCGGAGTCCCTAACACAATTAAGACAAGCGTGACAACACATATGGGGATCCCACTCGGGCATAAGCCTATAGCAGGAAGAGCATGTCCTTGCGGTTTTTAGCAAGAAGTCAAAAATATCACTTTTTACCAAAAATGACAAAAATATTCACCAAAATTAGAGAATTGAAGATATCAACATGAAATGAACAAACCTAAGAGAGGTCTACGCAAGGTACATATACACCAAGTATCAAAGCATTCAGGCTTGTAGTTTTCAAGAAGAAGTCGAAAAAGTAAAACATTGACACAAACGACGACGGACAATCACTCATATGATAAGCTCCGCTCGACAAAGTCGACAGCGGAGCT